TGGGCTTAGTCTTCTTAGAGATAAATTTTAAAGACTTTCAATCAGACTTGGTTCTGAGTCTATTGAGGTCTTCTATATTTTCTAATGTCAGATTTTTGGTAATTAAAGTAAAACAAGCCATTGCATTGTGATCTTAAAATTCACTAGATACTGTTTTGTCTAGCATCCTCTCTTTTTGTACACTTGATACCTTTCCTTCTGACTAATACAGATCTGCATTTTCTTTCCCCGAGTCGGCACGTTATTTATGTTGCTTAATTTACAGAGGAAATGGTAGGGCACTTTGGATTTGTAACTCTTAATATGGGAAAGCCCAGGAATGAGAATTCATAAAATTTGTTTCTTGAAATAGCGAGCTAGAGACTTCACTGGAGCCCAGGGAAAGAGCCTTGTTGGGTCCTCAGGGCAGGTCTAAGATGATGGTGAGCCATGAGCGCCCAAGACTAAGTTTATGCTCACTTCTCTTAGCCCTCTTCTGGGCAGGTATTCTAGTTGGAGGAGGAGAAAAGAGCACAGCGCTCTGGGGAGAGAAGAGAGTATGCTTTCTACCCTCTCCGTGTGTTTTCCCCTAACCATCATGTGGGACCTGGTCATGCCATCCACAAGGGGCCTCTTGCCAGCCTGAGAACCAGCGCCCTTCTGCCTGACCACCCTGCTGGGAGTGGGGATTTGGGGATATTTGGGGCAGGAGAAATCACAGACTGTACGTGTAAGGCAAGCATGGAGAAAAAGAGAGCAAGCTGGGCAGTCAGGCAAAGAAAGATTTATTACAGGAAGAAAGAAAGAAAGTGACTGGCTTTGGAGAAAAACCAGTGCCCTCCCTTTGCAACCAACCCTTCTTATACCCTATTGATGGGAAGTTGTGCCCCGAAGGGAGGGGGCCTTAGTTTGTCTTTAGCCCACAGCTGGGGTCTTGGGGTCACGTAGCTGAAGGGGTCTCACGGGCAGGTGGTCACGTAGTCTTGAGAAACTGGCACTAGCAGGGAGAAACAGGATATCGCCTTAAGGAAAAACAGGATGCCTACCCGGGCAATGTGGCCACTGTGACTTCATCCCTTGTTTGTCAGCTCACCACAATGGGCCGTATTTTAACTATACCGCTGTGAGCCCCTTGTGAGCCCTAACAGTACAGTCTGCGTGGGACCTCGGCTCAAAGTTGGTTCACTGTCCCCGCATTTCAAGGCTGTGAACATAGGGGTGAAGCTGGCAAGACAAATTTCCCAAGCATAGAGACAATCAGCGATGACACCCGGGCTCTGAGTTCATGTTTCTTTCCTTTTGGTAGAGCCATCTTTCAGGAACCCCATCGCCTCCCCTCTCCCCGACTGACTTTGGACCAAGCAGATCTAGAGGCCATTCAGACAGTCAGAAGTTTAGCTATGCTAATTCTGGGTTGGGGGGCTGGCGCGGTTTGCATAGCTGGGGGTGTCTGCACTCTTCATGGTGGGCATGTGATCACCGCGGGACCTGTCCTGGTCAGACAGTCATCAGGAGGGTGACCTGAGACTCCCCCTTTGGATCTGCACTTTGCAAATCCCCCCTGGAAAACAAAAGCATATTTGGAGGTGCTGCTTTATCTCTCCGATCTACTTCTCAAGTAATCCTGAACCTCGAGCCTGAGGCCGAGGCCGGGCTCCTTGCCAGTCTGTATACACACTGTCCATCCACAGGGGAGACACCAGAACTCAGGCTGTGTGGAGATTCCCTCTTTCGGCTGCCGGCTCAGGCTGTGTATCTTGAAGCGAGATCCACATTCCTGGCAGGTCAGCAGGGAGTCGTGTTTGACGTTAGTGGAAAAGGGCCGTTCTCGGATCCAGGACCTCTCCGCTTGTGTCTGTCTGCACTCCTGGGGAACAGGCTCTGACGGGGCAGAAGCCAAGTGTTGGAGGGTGTGTTTGGCTCCATCTTGGAGGGTGATGGAGTCCAGTAGGCTGATGCCCAGCTCGGAAAGTTCCCTTCCCTCTATTTGTGCAGAACACATCCAGAGCCGCCTATGGGTCAATGGACTGTGCAGTGCCCATGTGAAGTCAGTGTTCACCAGAAGGCTTCTTGTGGGAAATGCACAAACAGCGGGCCTGGGATGACAAGAGTTCAGTACATGGAAGATCGTCTGTTCCCTTCCCGACCTCTAGGACCTGGAGCTTGTTGATTTGTTCTTCCCACATTCCAGCTGTCTATGAAGTCACATGGTAGTGTAACAGATCTTAGACCAAGTTCTGGGCTCCTGGCATGAAGCCCAAACCAAATCTGGCTTTTCCTTTCAGCACCAGTGGCTTTGATTCCTGATGGCCCATGTGGGGTCATCTTAAATGTCTGTTCACGAGGCAGGTAAACTGACTGCCTCCAGGGAAGCATTCGGTCAGCACAGATGCACACTCAGAGGAAACCTACAAAGGTTAAAAAGACACACTCTTGTGAATGTGTGTGCTGTAAAATGTATTCCCAGCATACTCTGGCTTTTGTAAGTGATGTCCCCACATCCTTTTCTAGCCCTGGCTGAGACGAACTGACTGATGGGATTCATTGCTGGGGCCCCGGGTAAGCAAGTTGTAGGCAGAGGCTACACTGTGTAAAATTAATCCCGGTCCTCTAGTGACATGTGTGCAGACTCTAATGGAGTAAGGGAAGGACAGGTGATTTAAGCCAATGCTCCCCCTGACACATCTTTGGTGTGTCAGACAAGCTGTACCAATCAAATGGGCCCTAAATACCACCCTCCTCCTATGCCCAGCATCTCCATGTACCAGATCAGATCATGTGACTTCTGTGGCTTCCCAAAGACATGAGCAAGACAGTGGGGCAGGGCAAGTAGAGACCACAGAAAAAGTCAGAGAAGTGAGTGTTTTTCTCAGGCTTAGAATCGGCCGAGCTCTGAGGATGTTTCCATACGAGGGGACCTTATCCAGTGGCTGACTTACTCAACTGATATGTAAACAGAAAAAAAAAAAGATTGTCAAGATCATAAAAGTTCTTTTTTTTCCTGACTCTGATAACCTCTTATCTATAGGCATATATTTTTGTGCTTCTCATTAAGTGTAAGGTCAAATCTTCAGAGACTCACATTTTCATGCTGCTGTCTTCAAGTCCTTTATCTCTTTATGACTTTGCAGATAAAAGACCCAACCATGTGTAAAATCTTCCAAACTGGAGGTGAACTATATCCTTACTCTGTATTCAGAATTCTGTCACATCTGTCATTCTAATTTAAAAATGCAGCTATGAGAGAGACCTCAGGGAAGAGTATTAAAGGTAGCCTTTTTCTGTCATTTATTTTAAATTAACTTTGGCTTAAGATGTGTGTGTGTGTGTGTGTGTGTGTATGCACGTGAGATGGTTTCTGCCATAATTAGCATGGATCGGCCATAGTTATACATATGTTTCCTCATTCTTCAGTCTCCATCTCACCCCTCTAGGTTGTCACAGAGCACCGGCTTTGGGTTCCCTGTGTCATAACAGCAGACTCCGACTGGCTGTTTTATCATCTCACCCCTCTAGGTTGTCACAGAGCACCGGCTTTGGGTTCCCTGTGTCATAACAGCAGACTCCGACTGGCTGTTTTAATTATGTTTCAACTCTATTCTCTCAGAAAAGCTTTTTTTTTTTTTAAAGTTAATAATTTAGAATTTTTAGAAAGAATAAAATTTAAAAAGATAGCCACCCATGAATTCCCCATCCAGATTTGAATACTTTTAACAATACTAGGGTGTGTGTGTGTACATATAAACACACACATATACCCATGAAATTTATAAAATGGGATCACTTAAAATAGTCTCTTTAAAGTCATATTTTTACATACATTATTGTAAACTTTTTTCTTTTTTTTCTACCGTAATATCTTAATGGGTAAATATCATTCCATCCTACAGATAAGCTGTAACTTATTTAATGAGTGCCCTACTGTTGGAGACCTAGGTTGTTCCCATGCTTGGCTGTCACTGGGAATGCTGTGGTCCCATAATGACAGTCACTGTGCTGTTTGCATGTTATCTTTATTATTTCCTTAAAATAAATTCCTGGAAGTAGGGTCGATGGATGAAAATGTATGTAACACCCATAACAGTGTTGCCTACAAGGGGTGTAGGTTTATCTTCCTACCACCAGTCTGTTGCGAGGGTAGGGGGGGGCTACTTTCCCTTTTTCCTTGATGATAACTGGTAAATTAAGGTTTTGCTAATTTTTCTAAATAATACTAGATCATTGTTTTTATTTATTGGGCTGCATTGGGTCTTAGTTACAGCATATGGGATCTTTCCTAGTTGTGGCTTGTGAGGTCTAGTTCCCGGACCAGGGGTAGAGCCTGGGCCCCCTGCATTGGGAGCACAGAGTCTTAGCCACTGGACCACCAAGGGAAGTCCCTAAAAGTTGGAGGTCAGGGGCCTTGAAGGGGAAACAGGAGGTGAGCCCCGTGACTACCCCGAGGAGTGCCGGGAGGTGCAGGCGCAGCCCAGGGTGGGGAACCGGGGGCTGGGGAGTCGGAGAGGGAGGGCAGGGACACCCTGGCTGCGTGTCACAGGGCACGTGCCCAAGAGAGGACAGACCACACGGAGAGAAGCTTCCAGGCGTTCCGCTTGGCTCTCGAGTCAGGGCTGAACATTCCCCACGTGTGAAGAAATGTCCCTCCCCAGAGCTGGAGAAGGAACCCTCCTAAGGATTAAGGACACGGTGCCTGTGTTGGGGAGATGCTGGGTGGAGATGTTAAGGGAGCAGTAAGACCAGGGCCTGGAGCATGAGCAGGGCCTGGAGAGGAAGTGTGTTGTCCTGGGTGTGCTTTCGAAGGTTGGTTTTTTTTTTTAATTGGAATATAGCATATACATAGAAATGTGGGCAAATCATAGTGGGTTTATTGAATTTTCACTAATGCACTCGAGCAAACCAGATCAAGAACTGGCTCGCAGAGGCTCTTTTGTTGTTGTTGTTGTTGCCCCCAGTCATTACGCCCCTCACATGCCCCCCCCACCCCCCGGTGACCCCTCGTCCCCTCACCCGGACACTTCCAGTCCCCTCCGCAGGCGGCTGCTGCCGCTTCTCAGGTCAGCTCCGAGCGGCAGTTACGAGCTCCGGGTGGCAGGCAGAGGCCCAGAGGCTGGCGCTCTCGGGGCGCCGCTGGAGTTCTTCGGAACACCCTGTGGGGCCTCCCCGCTGCCCGATTCCCTGACACGGGCATCCTGGCTCGGGCCTGCTGTCCGTTCTCCGTCAGCCCCGTCAGTAAGGCCCGCCCGGCTGGCAGGCAGCCCTCTTGGTGGGATACCGGAAAGATGGCTCGAGCCCAGCTGCATTCCAGTGTCCACTGGGCCCATGGGAAACGCGTGGGTCCCGGTCAGGCCCACGGCGGCCAATCCCCTCTTGCATGAGCCCCTGTCCTCTCTTCTCCCATTCACATAGGCACGAGTTTATTAAGGATAGAGATTTCCCACCGGAGAAGGAGGGCCAGTCCACTTCCCGTGAGAGTGTATCAGAGTCCTCTCCCCTCGCTGGACTCTGGAGAGGAGACAGGAAAAGCAACTTGTTCAGCACAAGGCTGGTGGCAGCCCATAGCTACAGCTCTGCTCTCTTTTCCTCCCCCGAAGGGAGTGTGGTATGGGGTGTCTGGGGAGCAGAGCCAGGGTTTTAAAGGTATCTAGATTTGTTTTAATCCCATGCACTGAGACATGCAGACTCAGACATGCCCATCCGGAAGCCAAGTGTTTATTATCCTCGCAGCTCCCTAGAAACAGGAGGCCCAGACGACAGGGCCACATGGGGGGTACCAGGGTCATCCATGGGGAGGAAGGGTCGGAGTGCGGTAGGCAAGAGCCTTTCTTGGGGTTTCTGCAAGAAGGAACAGGCAGGGCGGGCCAAGCCAGCTTAGGTCTTGCTGGTTTGGATGGTTCCAGTAGGCTGTAGGGCACAGGGGCTGACCCAGTTGCCTGGTACCCAGACCTGGGTGATTAGGGCGGGTGGACAGTGATCCGGAGCGTGAGATCAGAAGCAGCAGTTATGAGTGTGGCCTCTGGGTTGGCTGGTTTGCATTTGAATGGTTTTCTCAGGGTCCATTGATTCCACCATCTCTAGGAACTAAGTCCCTTCAGGGTCAGCAAGAGCCCACTGCTGTCAAAGTGTCCGAACACAGAGAATGAAGGACATGGTTAACACAGCAGAAATACTGGCTGTTTCCTAGTAAGCGCTGCAGGAGGTTTCTGGTTATTTTCAGTGCTTCTTAGAATGTATGGTACTTCAGTCCTCGTCGATCCCAGCTCTGGGTCCTGGCTGTCAATTCTGAGGCAACAGGAAATAACCTAACATCCTGCTACGTCAAGTAGTTGCTGCTTATGATTATCTAGCATCCCTCTTAGAAATGAATTGGAAATTAAAGCAGCATAGGCTAAAATGAACTCCACGTTTGACAGGGTCTCTGTGTCTACACTTCTTGGTCCCTAGTGCCAATCCCCAAGTGCCTGATTGAGACAGAAAGAAGGATACGGAGGGACTTGTGCAGAAGGAAGGGCTTCCGAACAGGCACAGGCCTGCACCAGTGTCCTCTGCATCCAGGAGTCAAATTCTAATGAGGGGAATCCCTGCCAGAGGCCCAGGACTTTGACATCACAAGCCTGCCCCTTGGAGAAAAAGGGGGTGGTTCCCGGGACTCTTGCTTCTAAAACAAGAGGTTGTGACTTCTACCTTAACAAACAGGGCAAAAACAAAACCCGTTCACCACAGGGGGACGGGGGAGTGCAAAGAACACAGATGTGACTGCATAAAGGCCATCTTTGAGTCCATGTCAGATTATTTTGCTCCCGGTTTCTATAGACTGCAGTGTTCGCAGCTGCAGAGGGCGGCAATAGCCCTCCTCAGATGGTGGCAACAAGTCACTGAATGCTACAAAGATGACAAGCCCCCGCATTATTGTATGGCCTGAGGACAAGCTAGGTCCCACCTTCTGTTCCATGTCCCCACTGCCCTGTAGGTGGCGGGTCTCCGTCTCTGTGTGTCGAGGACCTCCTTATGAAGACGCTCACCTGGGTGGCAGTGAAACATAAAGCCTTCACAAGTCCTGGGGACATGCCTGCATGCTGTAATCTAATACGGGTTTAGGCCCTGCATCCCCCAGTGGAGTTGAGTCCATGATACGATTGTGGACACCTGCCCCCGTGACTTTCCTGTGAAGGACCTTGTATGTCTCTCAAGATGGACAGGAACTGATTCCAGAGGACTCTCTGCCTGTGGGATGCACACCAGACAGATCTTATCTGACCCGCTGCCGCCCCACCCCTCAGCGGCTCCAGGGTCCCTGCTGACAGTCTTCCAACGTGTCTGGTTGATGTGCCAGAAGCTATTGAAAACCCTCGGCCTGCACGGTGCCAACAGCGCCCTTTGAAGTCCTGAAACCCAGGCCTGTTCTGGGAGGACGAGGGCCTGAGATGCCTCTTTTCTCCTGCAAGAGACCTGGAGGTGGGGGTAACGGACCCCCCTGGGTCCAGAGGAAGCCTTGGGTGTCCCCTTTCTCCCCTGCTCACAGATGGAGTGGTGTGTGTAGCAGGCTTCTAGCTTCACCCTGGGCTGTGTGCTCTGCTGGGACGGGAGCCTTGACGTGAGGGGCTGAGAGCCTCGGAGAACACTGATCCTGACGCGCGGAGGCTCAGACACCGCTCTGTTGTTTGAACAGATGCCCAGCTGTGGAGGGGTGGGGGGTGGTTCTGAGCGCAGAACGTGGTCCTTGTATTAATCTCCCAGCCCCACGTCATCATGGTCAGGATGTGTGTGGGGGTGGATGTCTAACAGGGCTGTGGTTATGAAATAAACCCCAGCGACCTAAAATCACAAGCATGTGAGCTTGCCTGCTCAGCTGTGTCCAGCTCTTTGCAACCAAGGCCCAGCATAAATGACATCACCACGCTGTCAGTGTGAAACGGAACAAGGATGGTGAGGAGAGGTTGGTTGGGTGACCTGTTGCCACCTGACAGCCTGTCCCTCATGTTCATGTCCTGACACGCCTGTTGTATTAGTTCTCCTGGTTTTTTGGGTGAGGAGGTCAGGCAGGCAGGGCATGGCTGCGCTGCTGGCCTGTGTCTATCCAGCACCTCATGGGCATTGACCCAATGCTTCCTTGGTCCAGCGTGGCTTCTCCGCATCCCTGGCATGCTGGCAGGGAGGCTGGGTGCTCCGGGCCAGCCGTGTATTGGCTTCTCTGAGGGTTCTCACCAGTAAATGGCTCAGGGTGCCAGGGGCCCTGCTGCAGCAGCATGACCTTCACGTCATTTCCTGGGCAGAGCAGTTGTGGGCCAGGTGGATTCATGGATGGGGAGAGGAAGCAACTCAGACCTGTTGAAGAGGTGGGCCGGAGGGCTTATGAGCATCTCCAGTCTCCATCACAGCTTCTCCTTCAGGGAATTCAGGGCATCTCCTGCCTCACGTGGCTCCCGGGGAAAGCAGTGGCCACTGGGTCGCCCGATGTCACCAGTGCCCCAGTGAGGCAGCAGGTCTGGGTGTGACCGGGGGGTGGAGGTGCCGACCCCGTGGGCGGTGTCCCCTCACTCAGTGGGAGAAGCTGGCCCCGGCAGGCACAGCTGCCTGCACGTGACTGTATCCCCGGGGACGAGGCGACACGCTCGACCTGTGTGTCCTCCCCACCAGGCAGGTCTACTTGATGGAAAAGTCGATGATGTGTGTCAAAGATGCACCCCCACCCCCAGGTGGTCTCTTCACAACCTGTCACTCGGAAGGCAGTGAAGCTGGGCAGGGGGAGCCCCTGATGCCCGTCCACCTCCAGGGTGATGGCACTTAAATGACATGAGTCCCCAGGGGGTGCTGGCTGGGGTCTCACAGAGCTTGGTCCTCGATGCTCTGTGGAGCTGTGGCATCACTGACCCTGGCCTCACAGACGAGGAGACGGGGGCCAGCAGTCCTCAGGGATGGGCCGGCTCATGGGGGACAGTGGACACAAACTCTGGACGGTCTGATCCCAGACGGTCCCCTCCAGGAAGCCCCGCCTTCTGGAGCCCCTTGCAGGACTCACATCCCCTGGCACTTCCTCCTCTGCCAGGAGGCCTGGAACTGGGCTCAGGGAGCCTGGTTACGACCCCCACCTTCCTCAGGGAAGAGCTCAGTGGGTCCTGCAGGACAGAACTCATGCGGGTGCTTCCTGCCTGGGGTGTGCTCACTGGATTCCAGCTGCTCTGGCCCCTGGAATTCATCGGGGAGAAGATGGGTGGAGGGCCTTTGGTTCTGAGACTTTCCTGTTACCTGAAACAACCTCGCTCATGCTCTCCCACTGGTGGACTCCCAGGAACCAAGATGGACTTTTCTGGCTTTTGCCAGAGCCTGTGATGGCAGCGCTGCTGCTGTGGGAATCGTAGGCAGAGGGGGCCTCCGGGCGCCATCTGGTCTCTGCCTATTGTCTCCAATAGAGGCTCCATCCTTGCCTCCATCTGGGGAGCATGCCCAGTTGTCGGCAGTGGGCATCTGCTGGGAAGGAAAGGCAGTCATGGATGGGCCAGCAAAAGCAGTGGTCTTCTTCACTTCCTTAAACTGTCAGCTTTGTGATGACCTGTCTGTTGCCATTTTTCAGTCATGGTTATGGTCTGGATCTGTGTAAAGAAGTCACTTAAAATGTGCTGTTGTGTTCATGGCTTAGTGGCTTTCAGAAATCAATTCTGAGGAATTCTACCTGAGGCAAGTGTGAACTCAGACTATTGTCTGGCTGCTGGAATTAAATGATAGTGGCTATCACACTTTTCTTTCTGAAATTGCTTGATATTACCTTGAAAACAATACCTATAATCTTAAACTATTTTGATAAAGACTTAAATTTTTTGCTATTCAGAAGTAGACAATCCTCAGTTTATGTGTTTGAAGAGATGGCCCATGAATCTCAGGCACAGATTGGGTTAATTTTAACGTGAGGATGGCATTTACCACCACTTGGTGGCAGTGTACCCCAATGACAGGACTTTGTCAAAGAGAATCCTGGGCTCTGATAAGTGCTAAAACTACAAACCAGAAGTTATGAGGTGACAGTAACAACCCATATCTGGATTCTATTTTAGTGACAGAGCTTCTGGTACAGCACCATATACTTAAATGCTTTCTAAAGTCACCCTCTTTGGGAATGTCACTGTTCCCCTGATAAATACATCTTAATTTTTCTTTACTTATGGCTGGAGAATAGAGATGTCAGATCTTATGAAGAAAAGCCAGGAGGCTAATAACTAGTGTTATTTTTTTCATTGTAAAAATTAAGTTTCATTAAGAATGTTTTAAATATTTAAGATAAAGTGTTTGTATATGACTAGACTGATAGACCTCTTCCTTACGTATAGATTTTATAAATCAGCAAGGAGGTCCATGTAAAATTTTCTGTTTGCCGAGAAAGTAA